GCGTCCTGTAGGTTGCTGGAGGAAGGGTAGTTGGGACAAATCCAACTCAGCACAGGGTTGTATGTTGGTCAAAAATAGGAAACTATGTTCATGCGTCGGCAGAGGCGGGATGATCCCTTCAGGCCAGGCGATCAAGAGCAGCCCTGGGCAGACACGGGGAACCGCCATCGTACTGAAGTTCCCACCTCAGCCCCCAGCTCTTGAACCCCCAAGGGTTCAAGGCTTCAGTGAGCTATGATCCCACCACGCACTTGCAGTGTCTGCGAGACTGGACGCTTCGTTCTAAAAAATAAAAAAGGACGTCGCGTCGCCGCGGAATGGTGTTGTTGGAGGCGACAGGTCTGACGAGCTGGACCAGATTTTCCAGATGCGAGTCACGTCAATAACAAAAAAACCCTCAACCCAACCAGGCCCGCAAAGAAATAATGGACTGTGTGAGCCGCACACATGAAGTGTAACCGAGTGAAAAAGAGATCACACTGTGTGCTCCAAGAAGTGTGAATAAATTTCAGATGCTTAGTTCAACGCTACTGAGAGCTAACATGGATTGGGACTGAAGAAGAGAGGCAAAAGGAACAAAAATAGAAAGACCAAGGGCAGCGCCAGCGGCAGCCGCAGCGGCAGTGCTCAAGCAGCAGCAGCACCTGCGCGGCAGCAGCAACAACAGCAACCCAGCAACCACCAGCAGCAACAGCAGCACAGTAAAGGGCACAAATTTCCTGCTTTCACCAATTAACCACTGAATTGCTATTTTTTCCGTTTGGCCACATAGCTAGGTTTCTGGTTCCCCCACAGTAGGTGTTTTCACATAAGATTAGGGTCCTGTTGGAAAGAACAGTTGCAGTGTTTATAGGGTAGTTGTGGTAAGAATCTAGTTTATTTTGCATTTGGCTAATTGGTCTGTGTTGCATGGTTATATTCTCCTGGATTATAGATTAAGTCTCTGTAGACATCTCTTGGAAGAGCAAGCTATCATTAAACATGTCTGTTTATCAAAAAAAAAATAATAATAATAATAAAAAAGAAAACTATCCAAGTGTGCAACAGGGAGGGACTGCTTAAAGAAAACATGAGGCTGGCTGGGCCCTGTAATCCCAGCATTGTCAGAGGCCGAGGCGGGAGGATGGATGGCTTGGGCTTAGGAGTTCGAGACCGGCCTGGGCAACATGATGAAACCCCATCCCTACAAATGATACAAAAATTAGCCGGAAGTGGTGCACGCCTGGCCTAATTTTTGTATTTTTTTGTAGAAACAGGGGTCTCGCTGTGTTGCCCAGGCCGGTTTCGAACTCCTGGGTTCAAGCGATCTTCTCACCTTGGCCTTTAGAGTTGTTGGGATTATAGCTGTGAGCCACCACACCCTTCCTGGGTTAGGCTATTTAATAACATAAGAAAGTGTGGTGGCTCACGCCTGTAATCCCAGTACTTTGGGAGGCCAAGGCCGGTGGATCACCTGAGGTCAGGAGTTCGAGACCATCCTGGCCCATGTGGTGAAACCTGGTCTCTACAAAAAATGCAAAAATTAGCTGTGTGTGGTGGCACATGCCTGTAATCCCAGCTACTCAGGAAGCTGAGACGGGAGAATTGCTTACACCGGGGAGGTAGAGGTTGCAGTGAGCTGAGGTTGCGCCACTGCATCCCAGCCTGGGCGACAGAGTGAGACTCCAGAGTTTGAGACTAGCCTGGGCAATGTAGTGAAACCTTGTCTCTACAAAACAGACAGACAAAAAAAGCCAGGTGTACCTGTGTCCACCTGTGGCCCCAGCTACTTAGGAGGCTGAGGCAGGAGGATCACTTGAGGCCAGGAACTCAAGGCTGCAGTGAGCTATGATCATCCCACTGCTCTCCATCCCAAGCAACAGAATGAGACCATGTCTCTAGATAGCTAGCTAGATAACTGATACGTAGTTTTCTGTTGGAAATTTTTTTCCTAGATTTGAACATGTTTTTCTAAAGTAGCATTCAACACATCAGCATTTTACAGTGTTATTAGTTGTTAATATGATTCTGTTTTTCTGAAATACAGTATCCTTCACAAGCAGTTTTGTCTTTCAAAGTACATAGATAGGTCCTCAAGTGAATTTCTCTGATGTTGGCGACCTTGGTACCATTTTCTCCAGTTGACTGGAATAGTCAGTCAATAATTTCAGGTCACTGTTGGCCTTAGAAGAAGAGACCAAAGGCAACAAGCAAATGTGCTGGTGTCCAATCACCTTCTAGAAACATTTTCACTTTCCTGTAAGGTTTCCCTTGATGAACATAGAAGTAGTGTATGTAGAACTGACCCAGTGCTGCTGTGGCAACTTCGTATATTAGGCCAAATTTACATTTCTTACCTTTATGAGAGGCACCCTGGTAGGCTAGTGGAGTTACACACAAAGTCTGATCTCAGCTGCAGTGTCCAGAGATGCAACACAGTCCAATCAAATAACATTCTCTGAGCCTGTTTCTTAAGCTGTAAAATAAGAATAACAATTATATCTGTCTAAAAAGACAGCTTAGTGTATCTGAGTGGTCTTTTATTTTCTATGAAACTGTCTTTAACATAGTAATTGTTTTAATTGCAATACCACATTTGTGTTTTGTTTTTGTTTGAGATGGAGTCTATTTTTTTTTGAGATGGAGTCTTGCTGTTGTCGCCCAGGCTGGAGTACAGTGGCATGATCTTGGCTCACTGCAATGCCCGCCTCTTAGGTTCAAGTGATTCTTCTGCCTCAGCCTCCTGAGAAGCTGGGATTATAGGCGCCCACCACCACACCTGGCTAATTTTTTTTTTTTTTAGTAGAGATAGGGTTTCATCATGTTGCCCATGCTGGTCTCAAACTTCTGACCTCAAGTGATCCACCCGCCCTGACCTCCCAAAGTGCTAGGATTATAGTTGTGAGGCACTGAGCCCAGCCTCTTTTTACATAAGAATTTCTTGGTTGGGCGTGGTGGCTCACGCCTGTAATCCCAGCACTTTGGGAGGCCAAGGTGGGAGGATCACCTGAGGTCAGGAAGCATTTATTATGTATTTATATGCCCGATATTATGCGAAGCACTTTTACTATCTTCTTTACTACTTTACTATCTTATCAAATCTTCAGGATAGATTTTATCAAATCTTCAGGATAGATCTTCAGTTCTTGTGACTACAAGAGGATACTAAGGCTCTGACAGGAGAAGACATGTGGCCAGCCTGTGTCCCCAGAGCCTATGATCTTACCATTAGGTTACAGTGCTTCTAGGGAGCACATGTTGTGAGGTTTTTGCTTTAAAATGAACCAATAAAAAAACAAAGGCAAAAAAGGCATAAGCTATTAAAACATGGGAGAAACACTAACAGAACCTTAAGCACATAACTAAAAATATTATGGAAATGTTATTGAATTCATTAGCAAATTTACTCTAATTCTAGATTTTCATTGAGGGATATGTTGTATTACTCATAATGAAGAAAAAATGTTCAAGTATATTAACATAAATACCATCAATATGGTTTATCATGTTTAAATGTTCATTTAAAGCAATTCAGTTAAAATTCTGCATATCATACAATATTATAGCTTGCTAGATTGCAAAGTAAATAGTCATCCAAATAAAAACACCAAAGCACATGATGTTTTTCACTGGCTGTTGCTATTTTTAGGTGAGCATTTGATATATACCAACAGATAGATAATAACATATTGCTAATTTCTTTCATCGTCATATAAAGGTGGGTTCAGGATAGAATAGCATAAGGCAAAGAAGAATTTGAAATCTAACATCAGTTTGGTGATGCATCAAGATAAAAGTAGAGGCTGGGCATGGTGGCTCACACCTGTAATCCCAGCACTTTGGGAGGCCAAGGCAGGTGTATCATGAGGTCAGGAGTTCAAGACCAGCCTGGCCAACATAGTGAAACCCTGTCTCTACTAAAAACTACAAAAAAAAATTAGCTAGGCGTGGTGGCGGGCACCTGTAATCCCAGCTACTCAGGAGGCTGAGGCAGGAGAATGGGTTGATCCCGGCAGGCAGAAGTTGCAGTGAGCTGAGATCGCACCATTGCACTGCAGCCTGGGCAACGATGCGAGACTCTGTCTCAAAAAAAAAAAAAAGAAAAGATAAAAGTAGAGACAATAGGGGTATCTTGGTGAATACCAAATTTAACAAAGCAGATTAAGAGAAACAGTATAAAAAAATTCTATTAAATCCCTAAGATCCCTAAGGGCTTTGCAATAAATATGTAAGTAAATCCCCAATATCCATGCTGAAAGTTTAAAAGAAATGCTAATAATTAAAGAAACACAACTTTTCCTTAGCTTTGCAGTAATCTAGAAAGAACGAATGTTTCTAATATTTAGACAGACACTACAAAGCACCTTACAAGGAGAGACGTGTAAGGATGGCATGATTCACCAGCAGCCCTGGTCTTGTCCACGGTACCCCCATAATGAACAGTAACTCCACTGTGTAAATGCTCATGAACAAAGGATTACAGGACTTTTCCAGTTTAGACATACCACATTTTCTTTCAGACAATTCTTCAACTTGTTTACGAAGATCAGCGATACGATTATTCCATTTCTCTGAAAACTGAGCAAAAGTTGACTCTCAATAATACTTCCCTATGTATATGTTAGAGCAGCACTAACATATAATGACTTATTTCCTATATTTTACATCCTAACAATCCATATCATTTTACTGCTTTTGAAAAATTTTTTCCCTTTTTTGGTGGTTCTTAGAATTAGTTTAATAGGAGACTGTAAGAGAAATTTTAAAGTTTAGTATCTCTAAAAGCCTTTTAATTTCTGAAAAGCAGAAGGGCAGAGAAGATGAATCAAATTAAACACGACAACAGGGAGGCCACAATGAGGAGGTCTCCAGGGGTCTGTTAGCAAACTTCCTAAAACATGTCTTAGCTGTGTGGAAATAAGACTTTACAGTGGTCGGGTATGGTGATGCAGGCCTGTAATCCTAGCATTTTGAGAGCAAAGGTGGGCAGATTGCTTTGGGCTCAGGGCAACAGAGAAGAAAACCCCCTCCTCCAACCCCACCCCCGCCCCCGCCCCCATCTCTACCAAAAATACAAAACTGAGCCGGGCGTGGTGGCAGGTGCCTGTAGTCCCAGCTACTCAGGAGGCTGAGGCAGGAGAATCACTTGAACCCAGGAGGCGAACATTGCAGTGAGCCGAGACTGCACCCCACTGCCAGCCTGGGCGACAGAGTAAGACTCCATCTCAAAAAAGAAAGAAAGGGGAAAAAAAAAAGGTTAAGAGTGACCCAGACCTTAAAAATATAAGTTTAAGAGGGACCCTGGCTGAGTGTGGTGGCTCATGCCTGGGACTATGGGAGGCCGAGGCGGGTGGATCACGAGGTCAAAATATCTAGACCATCCTGGTCAACCTGGTGAAACCCCGTCTCTACTAAAAATTTATACAAAAAATTAGCCAGGCGTGGTGGCACACAGTTGTAGTCCCAGCTACTCAGGAGGCTGAGGCAGGAGAATGGCGTGAACCCTGGAGGCGGAGGTTACAGTGAGCCAAGATCGCGCCACCACACTCCAGTCTGGCGACAGAGCGAGACTCCGTCTCAAAGGAAAAAAGAGGGTCCCCAAAGCAAAAGCAAAAAAATCCCAACCCCAACACTTTTTCTCCCAATCCCAATCACTGAAACACCAGGAGGGTGTAATAGTTTTGAAGCCTAGCTGTAGTAGGCTGATCGTGACCCCCCAAAATGTCCATATCCCAATCCCAGGAATCGGTGAACATGACCTTATATGGCAAAAGGAGCTTTGCAGATATAATGGAGTTAAGAATCTTTGGCCGGGAGGATTATCCCAGCTTGTCCCTGCAGGGTTGATGTACTCACCAGGATCCTTATAAGAGAAAAGCAGGTGATGGAGAGGGTGGGAGGTGTAGTGATGGAAGCAGGAAACAGGAGTCATTCAAAAAGGGCAGCAAAAGCTGAGGAGTGAAGGCGCCCCCAGGGCCAGGAAATGGATTCTCCCGGAGAGCCTTGTAAGGCACCAAACCTGCTCCCACCTTGACTCAGTGGGACTGACTAGAATTCTGACCTTCAGAACTCTAAGGGAATACATCTGTGTTGTTTTAAGCAACTAAGTTGTGGTAATTTGTTGCAGCAGCAACTAGAAACTAGTATTGTAGTGAAGCCTCAAAACCCACCTGAAGGGGCGGGGAGTGGTGGCTCATGCCTGTAATCCCAGCACTTTCTGAGGCCAAGGTGGGCAGATGACTTGAGGTCAGGAGTTTGAGACCAGCCTGGCCAACATGGTGAAACCCTGCCTCTGCAAAGAATACAAAAATTAGCCGGGCATGGTGGCACATGCCTGTAATCTCAGCTGCTCAGGAGGCTGAGACATGGGAATTGCTTGAACCCAGGGGGGTGAAGGTTGCAGTGAGCCGAGATTGCACCACTGCACTCCAGCCTGGGTGACAGAGGGAGAATCTGTCTTTAAAAAAAAAAAAAGCAAAAAACAACCGATCGGAAGAAGGTTTCCAGTTCTGTCAGCTGTCTTCCACCCAACCCCTAGAAGCAGACTTTCCTTTGCTGTGGGCCGTGAACAGGCAGAAAGAAGCATCTCCTCATGCAGAGGCCTACCCAGGAGAAACCTAAGGGAAGGCACTGCTGGGCCAGCCCCTCTGGCAAGGCCATTTTCTTTACACAGTTTCACTCTCACTCTGTCTCTCAGAATGGAGTGCAGTGGCAAGATCTCAGCTCACTTCAACCTCTGCCTCCCCAATTCAAGCGATTCTCTTGCCTCAGCCTCCCGTGTAGCTGGGATTACAGGAGTGTAGCATGCCTAGAGGAGATGGGGTTTTGTGATGTCGCCCAGTCTGGACTCGAACTCCTCACCTCAAGTGATCCACCTGTCTCAGCCTCCCAAACTGCTGGGATTACAGGAGTGAGCCACCGCACCCAGCACTCGCCAAGGCCTTTGATGGCAGGCTTTTTCCAGAGGATCAGTCCTGGTCTGGTCTGGCTCTGCCCACTCTCCCTCTCACCTAGCTGGAATCCCTAGCTCCTTCTCAGTAGAGGAGAGTGTGGACCCCAACCCCAGCTTGGTATGGTTCAGATCTGTGTTTCACTCATGGAACCTGGCTGCTCCCCAGGCCCTGAAGAGAAAAACGGTCTCCCTGTGGGTATGATACAGGATGGGCCTGTCCCCAGGACCCTGTGAGAGGGAAGCCCAATGTCCCACCGGGTTGGCAGGGCTGGGGAAGGGAAAGTATTATGGTAGCCCCAAGACTAGAAAGAGGCAGCAGAGGGAGCAGGACAGCACTCCCATGGAACTCATGCCACTGCCTGAGTGAGCGGAGGGAGGAGTGCACCCAGTGACGTCAGGGGGCAGAGAGGCGCGGTTCCAGGGTGACTTTCCCCCTCACTTCCTGCCATGTTACTCTGATCCCCTCCAGGCGAGTCTGCCCACTTTGTGCCCAGGGTTGCCGCTGGGGCCTGTATCAGAACGCAGACCCCTATAGCCATGGCCCCAGGAGTGGGGCAGAGCAGGGAGCAGTTCTGGACAGAGGAGAGGCAGGCCAGGAGGGAGTGGGCCTCCAACTCCAGGAGGGGTCTCTTCCCATGGGTTCTGCTTTCCGGCCTCTCCTCCCTTTACTCCTGGGTTGATCAACTGGGGAAGAACTGAGGCAAGGTTTCTCACCCTCAGGTCCAGGGGTACAATGACTGGGCCCTTAGGAAGGTTGAGACCCCTGAAACAATGTAAGGTTTTGTTTTGAGAGCGTGCACATGCGTTTCTGGGAAAACGGTCCACAGCTCTTACTCTCAGCAGGCTCCACACTCAAAAAAGATTAGAACTCTTGCTACAGAGCTGTGGGGGCAGCTAGGTGAGGGGTCTGCCAAGGGCACTCTGGGGACTATCTGGGCACTCCTGAGCCCACTGTCCCCTAGGCAGGCTGCACTGCTTGGTATTTGCAGAGCTGAGGGGGTGGGGCACGTGGGGACTGTGAAATCACCCTGTGAGATGACCCACAGTCCTCAGCTGGGAAGGGAGGGGTACGTCTCCTGTAGCGTCCTCCATCCCTAGACCGTGGGGCCAGGAGAACTGGTCCTTGCAGCAAGTGAAAAGCCTATTACTGACTCCCTTCCCTGGCCATGTAGACAGTGAACCAGGGCAGTCATATCAAGTAAATGAGTAAATGCCTTGGTCTCTGTCACCGAGGTGACCAGTAGGCACTCCCAGGTGCAGTGAAGGTCCTCACACCAAGATATGCACCTGGCCACCTGAGGAAAGAGAAAGGACTATCTGAGGGGATGGGGCTGAGCTGGGTGTGGAGTGGACCTTGTGGGTCTTGGTGAATGGGAGGGGGAGCAGCATGAGCCAGGCCTCGAGGCAGAAGGACAACCAGGAGACAGCCTGGAAAATGTGCTGGACCCACAAGGGTTCAAGGCTGGCCAGAGAGGGAGGTGGGGTGGGCTGAGAAGTCCCGAAGTCTGAAGATTGGCCCTGGAAGGCAGAAACCAGGTAAGGTGGGCAGTTACCTGCACCCTGGGGGCCAGGAGCATTCTTAGCCCAGAGCAGGCACCAAGATTTCTGGCTCTGGGTGTGACCTTGGTCTGGGGAAAAGCCCCAACCCCCACCAGGACCACCTGCTGCCCAGACTACTTCAGATGCTGAGCCCAAGCCAGGGGCAGGAAGCTAGCCTGATGCCTAGGGTATCCTGACAAAGTCCCTGGATCCCCCCAGCTCTGGGGCTAAAGGGGAATTATAGACCAAACCCCAGATGCCAGCTCTTAAACTAACACTGAGCCGTCAGTGCCCACAGGGAGATAGAATCAGTGCACTTTCCATATGGGGAAACAGGCTCAGAGAAGTGCAAGAGCCTCACCCAATGCCCCAGACCAGGGCTCCAGGCCCAGAGTGTTTTGTTTGTTTGTTTGTTTTTTGTTTTTTTGAGACAGAGTCTCACTCTGTCGCCCAGGCTGGAGGGCAGTGACATGATCTCGGCTCACTGCAAGCTTTGCCTCCCTGATTCAAGCGATTCTTCTGCCTCAGCCTCCTGAATAGCTGGGATCACAGGCGCCTGACACCACACCTAGCTAATTTTTGTATTTTTACTGGAGACAGGGTTTCCTATGTTGGCCAGGCTGGTTTCGAACTCCTGACCTCAGGTGATCTGCCCGCCTTGGCTTCCCAAAGTGCTGGGATTACAGGCATGAGCGACTGCGCCCGGCAGGCCAAGAGTGTTTTTTGTTACTGTGTCTGGAGGGCAGCAGCTGCTCTGATGTATCCACCTGAGCCTGGCAACATTCTCCAACTTTGGAAGCCCAGGAGCACGGCCCGTGTCCACAGATGCACCTGGCATGAGGTGCACCCAGAGGGACAGAGGCAGATGAGTTTTGCCTCCTCCACTGGATTATGAGAGCCTTGAAGGAGACAAGGATCAGCTTGGGAAAGCCCTTGAGACTTAATGATCTATCGCATAAGGCTGGCAGTGAACAGTGAGCAACCTGAGGCAGTTTCCCTCGGGATAGATCCGCAGTGCCTGGATGGAACCTGGCTCAGACAGAGTTCAGTTCTCCAGGTCACTGAGGCATGGAGAGGTCACAGCTACCAACTGTAGGAATCTAGATTCAAAGCCAACAGCGTGACTCCAAAGTTCCTGCCCTAGCCCCTGGACCACCCACCTCTCGGGAGTCACCCTTGCAGGCTCATCAGATGCCCAGGCCAGCAACACAGCTGGTCAGGGCCAGGGAAACTTGGGGAGCCTCAGAGAACCCCCAGGTATTCCAACCTATTCTTGGCACCCTTGCCCCTCATTACCCTTTTTCCTGCTTCAACCTCACCCCCTACACAGAGCCTGGGCCACTTAACTTGGCATCAAACAGATGGCTCAATGAATCAGAGTCTGATCTTGAACAACAACAAGAAACAAAAAAACAAAAACAAAAAAAACCACTTAACAGATATACGGTTGCAAGTTAGAATGCTAAAGAACATAAACATATAACAACTTAATGTACATATAAATTCAACAGATATCCAATCATTGTGACTGTGACACAGTAAAATATTAAAATACCATTTTCAAAATGTATACAAGCTGAATGATCTATTCAAAATACAAATCATCAACATAATTTGCCACTAATATCTCGTTCAGTCCCTTCACAGGACACATGATCCACTGGGAGTTAAGAGATTAGCAGCTGGTAGGCAGTGATACACAGCAAAACAAAAACCAAGAGGTGAAATAGTTCTGAAATAAAGAAGGTTTTAAAGCTAAGAGAAATTATTGAATTACTAAGTCATTAGCACTAATTTTGAGCCAACTAACTAATTACTATGAGATGATACAATGTCCTATGCTTTGGTAAATACAAACTATATTTAAACAATGTCTGTAATGGGACTTTCAAAATGCTTCTGGCTTTACAAAGATAAGATTACAATGTAGTAATACATTTTAAAGCATTTTCCCCTCCAGAGCATGCTGTAACTTTCATCAGTCACATTGACAGTCCAGAAGACGATGGAAAAGGCCGTGGATTTCGCTGAGAACTTACCAGAGTTGAACTCCCTCACTTTCCCTTGCCCAGCATTGGCAGGTTCCAAGAGTGGTGGCTGTAGTGGCTCATTGGTCTTTGGTCTCTTAGAAGGTGGGGAATAATCATCATCTTGAAAAAGAAAAAATGGTCATTACTAAAGGAACCATCTTAGAGTTACAGCCACCTCCGGGTCAATTCCCAACATTCAAAAGTTGAGTGGAGGTTTAAAGGTATTTTGAGTATTAATAATTATTTCTGTATTGTGAACTTCAGCATACTTTTTTCTAGTTACATTTGAAATGTTATTCTTTTGGGATGTGCTCAAGTGAATACTGCTTTTTCCTTTGTCTTGCTTCACTACTTTTTAGTTTGCTTCATTTGAATCATCATTATAAATCTCCCTTTCTCCTCAAATAACTTTCAAGTTGATGCCAAGAACTATATTCTATTTTAAGCCTTTTGAGAAAAAACTTTAAACAAAGACAGTCAGTCACCTAAAGTTATACAAATGTAGAAGAAAGGGGATAAAATAAAGCTTAGATTGGAAAAAATGTTTAAGCTTATACAAAATTCAAGCATACATAAACAAAGGAAGCTGGATAATTGTATATACAAATACTTTTAACAAGTGCAAAATGTATAGGTTTAAAGAAATAGGGCTGCCTGGGCGTGGTGGCTCACGCCTGTAATTCCAACACTCGGGAAGGCCGAGGCAGGCGGACCACTTGAGGTCAGAAATTTGAGCCAGCCTGGCCAACATGGTAAAACCCCATCTCTACCAAAAGTATAAAAATTAGGCTGGGTGCGGTGGCTCGTGCCTGCAATCCCAGCACTTTGGGAGGCCGAGGCAAGTGGAACACCTGAGGTCGGGAGTTTGAGACCAGCCTGACCAACATGGAGAAATCCCCATCTCTACTAAAAATACAAAATTAGCCAGGAGTGGTGGCGCATGCCTATAATCCCAGCTAGTGGAGAGGCTAAGGCAGGATAATCGCTTGAACCCGGGAGGCAGAAGTTGTGGTGAGCCAAGATTGCGCCACTGCACTCCAGCCTGGGCAACAAGAGCAAAACTCCATCTCAAAAAACAAACAAAAACAAGAAACAAAAATTAGCCAGTCGTGGTGGCACCTGTAATCCCAGCTACTCGGGAGGCTGAGGCAGGAGAATCGCTTGAACCTGGGAGGAGGATGTTGTGGTGAGCCGAGATCGCACCACTGCACTTCAGCCTGGGTTACAGAGCAAGACCCTCTCTCAAATAAATAAATAAGGCTACATTACTTATGAAACAGATACTGTTGACTCAGTCACCAGAAAGCCTGTGTATAAATGAGCAGTGAGATATTCAAGAACAGCACACATACACTACTCAGGGCAGCTGTCACGAGAGTTCCATGCTCAGTTCCTTGTGGATACACCAGCAACTCACTCTGTTATGATCCTCCAATATACCTCGTGTTAGAATTAGAGATATCTGGGCCAGGTGCAAGGCCGAGGCAGGCAGATCATCTGAGGTCAGGGGTTTGAAACCAGCCTGGCCAACATGGTGAAACTCCGTCCCTACTAAAAATACAAAAATTAGCTGGGTACTCACCTGTAATCCCAGCTACTTGGGAGGCTGAGCCAGGCGAATTTCTTGAACCCTGGAGGTAGAGGTTGCAGTGAGCCAAGATAGCAAGATAGTGCTACTGAACTCCAGCCTGGGCAACGGAGCAAGGCTCTGTCTCCAAAAAAAAAAAAAAAAAAAAAGGCAAAACAAAACAAAACAAAAAAAGAGTTAGAGACATCTGGATCAAATCAACTGCCACTGTCATCTTCTAGTCGCACAAGTATCAGGTAACGTCCTATTAAGATTGCTACTCACACTCACATCTATAAAATACAGAAAATATCATTTTAAGAAATCTTTATTTATTTATTTATTTTTATTTATTTATTTTCTGAGACGGAGTTTCACTCTTATTGCCCAGGCTAGAGTGCAATGCTGCGATCTCGGCTTACCACAACCTCCGCCTCCCAGGTTCAAGCAATTCTGCCTCAGCCTCCCGAGTAGCTGGGATTATAGGCATGCATCACCACGCACAGCTAATTTTGTATTTTTAGTAGAGACAGGTTTCTCCATGTTGGTCAGGCTGGTCTCGAACTCCCGACCTCAGGTGATCCACCTCGGCCTCCAAAGTCCTGCCAGAGAGGAGGGGCAGGAACAATAGTGATGCACCTGGCAGAAGAGGTAATATTTTCCAAACATAAACATTAGCGTAACCTTATTGGACTTGTAAGAATTTTTTTTTTTTTTTTTTTTTAGTAACAGAAGCAGATTTTCCTGAACTGCATCATTTCAGCTAGCATTTATTTACTCAAGATTAAAATAATACAATAACTAAAAAAGTCAAGAGGTGGGCAGGCATAGTGCCTCAAACCTGTAACCCCAACACTTTGGGAGGCCGAGTTGGGTAGATTACCTGAGGTCAGGAGTTCGAGATGAGCCGGGCCAACGTGGTTCAAGAGATTCTCTTGCCTCAGCACCACAGTAGCTGGCCACCATGGCCAGCTAATTTTTGTACTTTTAGTAGAGATGGGGTTTCACCATGTTGGCCAGGATGGTCTTGAACTCCTGACCTCAAGTGATCCGCCCACCTCAGCCTCCCAAAGTGCTGGGATTACAAGCATGAGCCACCGTGCCCAGCCAGGATTGCTTTCTTAGAGACCATCTGTGAGAATCAGAGATGTGGATCTACTCAAAATGTAGTAGGGGAAACCAATGGTCAAACCTCAGTAAGACAGAGTACAGTCATCAGGTCCAGAAAACTATTAATAGAAACAGGCTTGAAATCAAAGACTAAGACAGGGCTCTGGTCAGTAAATGTGTCTGGATCAGAGAAGACTCAGGATGTTACCAAATCGAACTGGCTCCCCTCACCCAGTGCAGTAAAGCCAAACATCCACATCGAGGTTTGGCAGCAGGAGAAAGGAGGGCATTTATTTGCAGGGCACCAAGCAAGGAGAATTGGGCAGCTCACACTTAAGACATGACCTCCCGATGGCTTGTAAGCAAGGATTTTTAAAGGCGGGTAAATTTCAGGAAAGTAGAAATTGCAGATAAAATTGTAAACCAATACATGGAGGCTATACTTTGATTTGGCCCAAAAAGGCAGGATATTTTGAAGTGGAGAGTCTTGCAGGCCAGAGGTGGATTCAAAGACTCTGATTTGTGATTGGTTAAGGAAGTGAAGCTTTGTCTAAAAACTTGGGGTCAGCAGAAAGGAACGTTAAAGCCTGGCCTGTGGTTGTGACTTCCTCTAGGCCCTGCAGGAAGAAATTTAGAACAAAGAATAGCAGCAAACGTTGGGTCCTCAGATCCCCCTTATCTGAGGTCTACACACCAGCAGATCTGTTTGGTGGGGCCTGGGTTTCTTCTGAGTTTCTTCTTCCTTATTAGGTTGCTCACTTCTCAGGGCTAGCTAGGCGCCTGGAATTTCCCTTAAAGGAACTCAAGGCCGGGCGCGGTGGCTCAAGCCTGTAATCCCAGCACTTTGGGAGGCCGAGACGGGCGGATCACGAGGTCAGGAGATCGAGACCATCCTGGCTAACACAATGAAACCCCGTCTCTACTAAAAATACAAAAACATTAGCCGGGCGTGGTGGCGGCGCCTGTAGTCCCAGCTACTTGGGAGGCTGAGGCAGGAGAATGGCGGGAACCCGGGAGGCGGAGCTTGCAGTGAGCCGAGATCGCACCACTGCACTCCAGCCTGGGCGACAGAGCGAGACTCTGCCTCAAAAAAAAAAAAAAAAAAAAAAAAAAAGGAACTCAAGATTTTCCTTTATTTCCATACTTGGGGGGCCCAGCAGGCTTCTCAGAGGGTTCCCTGCTCCTTCTCAGGGATGAGTGTGGTAAACATCTCTCAAGAAGCCTGTCTGCAGTGTGTTCTATCTCTCTGTAGGATAGCCAACTGTTTTTTGTTTTGTTTTGTTTTGTTTTTTTGAGACAGGGTCCCACTCTGTCACCCAGACTGGACTGCAGTGGTTCCATATTGGCTCACTGCAACTTCTGCCTCTCAGGTTCAAGCAATTCTCCAGCCTCAGCCTCCAGAGTAGCTGGGGTTACAGGCATGCACCACTACACCCAGCTAATTTTTCATATTTTTAGTAGAGATGGAGTTTCACCATGTTGGCCAGGCTGGTCTCGAACTCCTGACCTCAAGTGATCCACGGGCCTTGGCCTCCCAAAGTCCTGGGATTACGGGCATGAGCCACCGCGCCCGGCCTGGCCAACTGTTTTGTTTTGCCTGGGACATCCCTGGTTTTAGCACTGAAAAACTCATCTCCTGGGAAATCCCTCAGTCCTGGGCAAACTGGGATGGCTGGTCACCCTTGATACCTGACTTTTGCCTTGATTTAAAGGGTCAGAGGTGGGGCAGAAAGTATTAGACAGTCACAACCTATATCAGAAAGGAGGCTGCTGGGGACCCAGCAGAGTGTATACTCCTTGTAGGGCCTGTATATAATAGAACAAGGAGTTGACTGGCATGTATTCTGCTTTGTGACATTGCTAGTGAGGATGAAGAACGGCTCAGCACAATCAAGCCATGCAGAGCTGATTCAGCTACTTTCACACCTCCCTGGATCAGGGATTGTATATGACCCTGCTCATGCCTTTGCTGGTAAACCACTAGTACCCTTGGTAATAGCAGCCTCTGAATGTGGGCCATTGTGACAGGTCCTCCTACAGGAGTCTAACTTTGGAGAGTCCTATATCCCCAGTGGCAGAGAGCAAAAGCTGTGTGCTAGTGGGAAAGTGACCGCAGATGTGATCCAGTGCTTCATATGCAGACTCATTTACTGACCTCAAAAGCAAATGCAACAAAACAAAACTTGAAAACTGGGACCTAATTAAAAAGCTTCTGCACAGCACAAGAAACTATCAACAGAGTAAACAGACAACTGACAGAATGGGAGACAATATTTGCAAATTATGCATCTGACAAAGGACTGATACTCAGATTCTATAAGAAACTTAAACACATCAACAAGAAAAAAACCCCAGTTAACCCCATTAAAAAGGGAGCAAAGGACATAAACAGATACTTTTCAAAAGAAGACATACAAGTGGCTAACAAACATGAAAAAATGCTCAACATCATCAGTCATTAGAGAAATGCAAATCAAAACTACAATGAGATACCACAGCACACCAGTAAGAATGGCTATTAATAAAAAGTCAAAAAACTCCACCAGATAATGGCAAGGTTGTGTAGGAAAAAAAAAAAAAACCTACTTATACACTGTTGGTGGGAATGTAAATTAGTTCAGCCTCTGTGGAAAACAGTTTGGAGATTACTAAAAGGACTAAAAGTAGAAGTACCTTTGGACCCAGCAATCCCGTGACTGGGTATATGCCCGAAGGAAAATAAATTATTCTACCAAAAGACACCTGCATCTGTATGTTCTTTACAACCATATTCACAATAGCAAAGACCTAGAACCAACGTAGGTGCTCATCAACAGTGGACTGCATAAAGAAAATGTGATACGTATAAACCATAGAATACTATGCAGCCATAAAGAAAGCATGAAATCATGTCTGTTGTAGCAACACAGATACAGTTGAAGGCCATTACCCTAAAGGAATTAATGCAGAAACAGAAAACTGAATGCTGCCTGTTCTCATTTATAAGTGGGAGCTATTCACTAGGTATACATAGACACAAAGACGGGAATGATGGACGCTGGAGACTCCGAAGGACGGGAGGGAGAGAGAAGTGAAGGGGTTGCAAAACTACATGTTGGGTACTATATTCACTCTTTGTGACTGGATCAACAGAAACCCAAACTTAAGCATCATGTAATATTCCCATGGAAGAAACCTGCACATGTACCCCCTGAATATAAAATAAAATAAAATAAATGTTTACTGATATTAAGTCAGGTTCTCAAATGTTAGCATACACTAGAATCCCCTGGAGAGCTTGTTGAAACAGACTCTTGGGCCCCATCTCCAGAGTTTCTGATTCAATAGAATTGGAAAAGGGCCTGAGAATCTGCATTTCTAACCAGTTCCAGGTTGATGCCAATGCTGCCAGTCTGGACACCAAGTTTGAAAACCACTAGATTAGGTGCCAGGGACTCTGACATATCAGGAAAATCCCAGCAAGCAGGGAATCATTCCTGTTTTACAGAAAGAATGTATGTCGAGCAAAAGGGAAGAAATGGTTTGCCCAAAGTGGCCACCACTAAGTGACAGAGTTGGGAATTCAAATTCCTCTTTTCTGACTGCAACTCCAGGCTTTCTGTCTCCATCTGACTTCCTTCCCATTTGAAGGAGAAGCATGCCATGAATGGTTGTGCTCTTAACTTCCGAAGAAGTCCACATTTTCCAGGTTTCTACTTGATTTAATACATTCTTCTCATATTCTACACTGAACTCCAGGTAGTGAATAAGAAGTCAAATTCAAGATTGAGGAGCTTTATCCCTATTGTAAAACATGCAACTTGTCCACTTTCTGAACTTGGTTTCCTTGACTCTATTTAACACCTCATCTTGTCTCCAATCTGATACCATTATTTGAATGCAAATTATAGGTCTTTGGGAAAGGTCAGTGTAGACACATTCTAATTCCTAATAGAGGCTGCCTATGC